TCTACGGTTAGCCGAAGAATTCATTTTGTTTTTTATTTGCTTTTTTGTGTTTTACACTTTTTCAATTTGAGCACCAAATGCAGATAGGATTTTGTCATGGTAACAGTGAGATTAGAAAAACAAACAACAGGTGCCGACCGAAATGTATCTGCCGTTAGGATTATGCTACCAATTGAACTTTTTTTATTAATTTTTCCTTCAAATTTCTTTTTTTTTCCTCTTTACGAATAGTAATATAAAAATCCATGCAAAGAGCAACTATATGAGCCACACTTATAATGTGCTCGTTTGCATCACATTCCAAGTGTAACAATTTGTACGCACGTTTCTTAATTCACCCTTTCATTTTTCTAGCAAATTGAACGCACTCTTCACAAGGACAAAGCGAGCCAGTGCTGTATACGATATGTTTCAAGAATTTCAGTGTGAAATAAAAAAAAATGAATTTATTAATTTCAAAATGTAACACATATTAACCAGATCGTTTATAATGGAATGTCATTTGAGATATAGCCGGCGGTCAAGCAATAATGATGTCAGATTTCACTTATAACGATTTTTTTTCGTTTACACTCAGTTTTAATTGGTAGATGTAAAATGAAATGTTCTCGGGGGTTCAAATCTTCATTAAAACTCGCTTTTTAGTTGATTTTTTCGAAATCATTTGGTCGTATGAAAGCATAAATCCATACAAAGTGAAAATACCGTAGCATGAATAAATTACAAATTAACAGCCAACTGTCAGTGTCAGCCAATGCAAATGCTGTAAACAATTTTTGCTAAATCGCAAAAAATACCATCAAAATGCACATTTAAGTATATCTTTCAAAAGATTAGGACGAGAAGAGTTGAAGGAAACGAAAAAGAAAACGAACAAACAAGTGCTTAACGCTACACACAAAAAGGGAAGAGAGAGCGTGATATATGCGCTTTGTTTGCTGATCCGATTTCCTTTCTTCTTTTGCTTGCTACAAAAAGCCAAAGTAATTATGCAGATTTTCCACTTGACTAAATATGAGTCTTCTTTGTGGCCCTTCTCTTTGCCGTAATTAAAGTCAGCAGAGGACTTGAGGCACTGGTACAGCGATAAAAAAAGAGCTTCTATTCAACTACTATCAACTCTTCTTTATGGTTGCTATCATGGCAGCAACGTGAACAATTTTACGTGGGTCACTGTACTATTTATCTCATGAAAACAGCAACATGTTTAGTGGGTAGAAAAAAATCTATTTGCTTCAACAAATTACCGTTAAGTGAGCTTTTGCCATTATAATCATGGATAAGATGACACGTTGAATACATTTATCCATTGTGTACACACAAAAAAAACGTGTAAATTTGGCTTCACTTTGGCATTGTTTACCGCAGCTATTTAATATGCAATTCTGAAAATTATGAAAATTTATGTTATTCATCTTGTTTTGAACGCAATGTGCCCATTTTATGGTACAATTTCCATGTCATGTCAATTTATTCGGCGTATGTATATCACTACAAAATGACAGGCGCCCAACAATCAACCATCCAAGGTAATGAGTTGTCAGCAGCATGACGGTTTCACTTTTAAAGGTAAGTGTAAATGTGTACTTTATCACTTAACTGGTCATTTCCTCTGTACTCCGGCTATTACACACATATTCATGATTTAACACACATTTTGAGGTACCTCTACCTCATTTGCATATATATTTTTGCATCGCATACAAATCGTTTTTATTTTATTGCTTTTAGCAAAATTAAATCCGCATGACATGCATACTTTCACATTGTTGAACACTAGTTATATGATGGTCGAAGGAAAACGTATTATAATAAAAATCGTGCGTTGAATGATTAAGCACTAGTGTAAAACGTAAAGGAATTTTTAAGTGACCCAAAGGATTCAGATGGTATCATCGTAGAACTTGCACCGAGTCGAAGTACTAAACCACTAGATGACGCTGCCCTTCTATTTAAAATGTATTAATATGTGTGTGATCGTGATTTTAGGCGGCTCCTTTTTGCAATTTTTGATTGCGCCAGCAACCGCTCCAATGGCGCTGCTGTCAACGTTACTGCCATTGTCGTGCTTTGTAGTAAAGTGTACTCCTTTTATTTTTGCTACTTTTGTTTAGTTTAGACAGACGTCTGCTCATAATATTAAACAATACAGATATAATCCCAATCGTAGTCCTAAAAAAATATAGAATATTATCATTGTCCCGAAAATAAACCGAGGTATACTATGAATATTTTTTGTATCTTGTGTGTAGAAAATCTTTATTTGACAGGAGGATATGCATACCTGAAGCGATCTTCATTAGGTTGGAAATGTTGCTTAAATTCTATTTTCGAAAACGAATCATTCTTTTTAGTTTCACGTTTCAAATGTTTTACAAAGAAAATCAAAAATTATTTATTTACATTTGTTTGAAAATAGCTCTGTCGCCGTTGGCGAATCCTTTATTTTACGGAAAATCACAATTGAACTTTTGTTTAAATATTATCATATAATCTACAACCTTTGTACCATAACATGTTGCAGCATCCACATTAGCATGCGGTTAATCATATTCTGTTATTTTATCATGAAAAAAATGATGATAGATGTTTTTTTAAAAAGAAAAACAAAGCAGAAAGATTTATTCTTTCCGTATCATGAACATGTATGATATGTGTTTTTTGTTTCGAAGAAAGCTGTTTCCCTTGAGCGCATAAAACATTGTGTAAATTTAATTGAAAATTTTACATATGCATAAACGTGCCCGGGGCGATTAAATTTTATGCACAACAACGTTGGCATAAAAAGAATTCTAATGCTGGGCTCGTATGTCAACCATCGATCCTTCATTTAAAAAAATCATCCAAGTATAATAGTCGTGTACAGTGTACAGTGATGCTACTGCGGATATTAAAAACAACGTAAAATGTATACATTAAAAAAGAGCTTATTCTCAAGTAAAAACCTCATTTTTCTAAACGTAAGACCTTTCTTTCTTCTAGTGAAATTGAAAGTGATAACCAACAAACATGACAAATCAATTGAACAACATTGTAGTATTTTTCTCAAGGTATGACAATGACAATCTGTCTAAAGTAAGTAAATAGTCTGCATATATGTTGCCATTTGCTATGTATAAATAAAGCCACATAGAAAAAAAAAACAGAAAAATACTAAATCTAATAAAATATTGTGTTGACAGAGTGGTGAACGGTATTCATGATATGAGAATGAAAACAAGTCTTGGGCTATAAAATATTGTTTTTGGTCAAAAAATAAAACGAATTGTGTCACATTTTTTTGTGCAATAAAACGTGAGCATTATATTTGGTTAATTCACGATTACTCTTGATTTCGACAAGCAAATTCTTGTTACTTGATACTTAATTAAATAACATAAAAACCTTTTTCGCTTACGTTGACTATGTTGCTCTTTCTTGAGCAAATATGAAAGGTTACACGGCCTATAAATTGTGGAAACCATATTAGTGTTTTGTCCTTCAAATACAACATTGTAATGGTGCATGACTTTCGTGAAATGCGTCGTCATTTTATTGTTCTGGTCCCTTTTTTTATCGAACAGGATGAATGCGCAAGAAATCCCTTAATAAAGATTGAATTATGTAACGATGTTGAATAAAAATGTGCGTTGCTATTGCTTTTGAAAGAAAATACAATTATATTGAGATGGTTTCATTCATTGGGCAGGTTACACAGAAGCGTTTCGCACTTTTTCGTTTGGTTTTCAGTTGTGAGTCGCTAGTTGCAGCACATGTTAATAAGTTGCTGGGCTTGGAATTTATTATGCCATAAAATGTCACATTTGCGTCCCAATTCTGTATGTGACAGCCAGAAAATGCGCGATTGAATTTCACATGCAGATGTGCATCGATTGAAAACAGTATCTCCATCTCATTTTCAAGAAGAACATTTTAAAATATAAAAACATAGATCTTATGATTCAATATATCATCCATGAGCAGAATCAATTTCGTAAAAATCCTTGTCTATAAATTTTCAATGTAAAAAACTGAAATCGATTATTTTGAGTTCGTAAATCATTGCAGCTACTAAGAAACGGTAATATGAGTATGTGAAGAGTCTGTGCAGAAAGTTGATCATCGAATTTATTATTATTACCAATCGAAAATTTTCATGAATTCATTGTTCAATTTCATAATAGAGTAGACATCGAAATACATTTGAAGAAAAAAAAATGTTAAATTTTCCAATTTCGATTAAGAAATGTCTCATGTATGTCATTAAACGGATACAGACACATTCTTTTCATGCTTCGTCTGCACACAATTCAATAACGTTAACGTTTCCATGACAATTCACTTTCTATCACAATAAAAAAATGTGCATACATAAAGATATTAGATTGCAATCCGTGATACTACTTATGTCTCGGTCAATTTAATTGAGATTCTTGTCAAGAGATAAAGCATATAGAAAATCTTCGAAATTTCATAAAACGACACATGGAGATATAACATTCAATACTTTTAATTCTTGTGTTTTGCGTACATATGTTTGTTTGTGTGAATGCTTTTGAAATGTTCATGAAAGTCGATTTTTATGAAATTCAATTCCATTTCAATTTGCGTTATAGAAACTACGACTTCTTTTTACCAGTCAATTTGAATTTCCTTTTGCAGGAAATGCATCGTTTCAACGCAATACAATTCGAACGCTAATGTAGCCATATTGAAGTCAACAATAATATTTCCGCTTCATTATATCAAATAAATGCGATGGTCGGACGGAAAATAAGCTTGATGGAAACATGCTCATTGCTCTCAATCACATTTTCCACTTAAATGAACATACTTCACAAAAAGTGTGAGAAAAAAAGTCAACTATTTTCAAACTATATTTTTTCGTGTTTTGAATTTACAAAAAACTTCTGAGTTTTCATTCGAAATTATTACATCATTTTCCGTTCTTTTTTTTCTTCAATAAAATGTGCTATGTAAAACCAAAATGAAAAAAAAAAACGGTAATGCATTTTACTTACCTGGTCGGAACTACATCTCCATCCGTTATGTTAACCAATTCCCAAGAGGTAATTTTGATTGGCCAAGCAATGTGACCGAAAGAGTCTCGTACAAGTGCCTCCCACGATGAATACGGTGTATGTGAATCACTGTGCAATCGTTCTGAACGTTGTAGACGTGCTCGCCGCTTAGGTGTTGTGCCACCTGAACTCGGCGACGTTGATGGGCTTAAATGATCCATTTGCAAATGAAAACCAATGCCAATTTGCAGAAATATTTAATAAAACGGGAACAAGAATTCCCTAAGCGGTTGCACCGAGGTGAGTGTTACGGTCGTGAGCTTTAACCAACACTCGGCATTAGCAATTAAACACTATGGAATGTTTGAATGTGAATGGAATGCCAATGCGAATAATGTGCATATATATTCAAAAAAAATTGCTGGGAAATTATCTCTGTTTAAATGTTCGCCAGAATGAAATATATATACATATATAAAAACAAATGTTGAAATTAATTTAAGCGCTGCGCATTTTATCGAACGATTGTGATTTAATAATGCAGAAATTAGCAATCTATACAATTCGATAAATCGAATTTGATGCCGTGTGACATTGAACGAAACACGATATGTTGTGGTTGAATTGCAGCTGCACAATGAACAGCGCGTTTATGTTCATCGACACGCAAAAAAAACAGTGATTAGCTACATCACCATGCCATCAAATGCATTCAAGATTAATGAATTTCCAATATTTTTGCTCGTGACTAGCTTCGCAAGCAGTTAATTTTTTATGAGTGTGGTGTGTATGTTCAATTTGATAGTCGAATGTTCATTTACTTCTGTTTTGTTCGTCGTTTTTCTGGATAAGTGCATCAAATTAATGATACAGCAACTAAAAATTACCACATATTTTCATTTCACTTTATCACTGCACGCCCGGATCGGTTTAAGTGCTGGCGCTGGCTTTTCGTTTCAACAATAATTAATTACATATTATCCATTGTAACTTGATAGAAACAGCACAAAAACAACATCCATGTAGCGTGCACAATGGAGCAAAATTGGCCAGCATCACGGATTAATTCATGACAAGCAAAAAAAACACTTCACAATTGCGAAAGAACAACGTACAAAAAATGTATATACAAAACAACGATCACGGCAACTGCAAGGCTTCGCAGCGAAAGCTTCGGGACCTGCAACGAGAACAAAAGTAGAGACAAAAAAAAAACAGAACAAATTTTATTAGTTTTAAAAACCATTATATCCTTTTAATGGTTGAGACTGTAAAGACTCTACAGGGAAAGATCGAGGTGGGAGCTACTTTGTTTGGAAGGATTTAAAAGCACTTTTTTTATTAAAAAAATGATTGCATATAACATTTATTGTTCACATTTTTTTAAATTGATTCGATGTGGTGCGATAGTCGTGGTTCGAATAATTACATGGACAATTATATTTAATCATGTATATCCGCAGTAATCACTTGACTAAACAAACGTATTTGCTACAAAATCCCATCAAATAAAGTGAAGAATGAATTCTGTCACTTGTATTATGTTTACGCAAATTGTTTAAGTCTCAATTTTCTCGGAACAAAAAACGATGAATACAAAACCAAATCAGCTTAAATTACAAAATCCAAAAATCATTATTATGTGGCAGTGCGACATCCATTTTTTTTTTGTTCCATCTTGAGCTCTGTAACGCATTAACGATTGATTTCATTTTTACGCTTTTTCTTGTAGTCGCTGTCTGATACTTTCGTGTTTTTTTTTTCAATCGCTGATATATACGTATTACCGAATTGCTGACAAGCGTATACGCTAGCTATAAACTTTGAAGATTAATTGTTTATGCCATCGAGATGATGTCATCTTTGAATATCATTCGTGGTGTCTCATGTGTCAAGACCGAAGAGTTTTTATTCGATGAGCAAAAAAACTTTTTTTATCGCTTGTTCTGCATTTATGAATGTTAACTTTATACATGTAATATTTGATGTGTATTTTTATGACATTAACATGTAACCGATCCACGTACCTCACATTTATGTGTGTGTGTAATGACCGGCAAAGAATCTGCTTTCGAAAGAATTCTCATTTCAATCTAATATTGGTCTAGACATAATTAGGAATCTTTTGGAACAGAGAACCCCTTTCGCACCATTCGTAATTTGCTTAGTAAAAAAAACGTTATTTATGCATGTATACCTCTTGATCCTTCATCATACACCAGCTGATTGAAAATGCAAATTAAATGGTTTGAAGGTTATTTGAAAGCCAGAAAAATGTACATGAAAAAAAAAACATTGTGAAACGAAGCAATTTTACGAGATGCGACGGCCTACAACAAATCAGTGATACAACCCAATAAGGCTTATTGCCGGAATTCGTTGGTGGATTTCTCAGAAAATGAGAAACGAAGAAAAAACGCATTTAATTTGTTTCAATTTTTGCCATGGAATAAGGGCGTCCGCATGACCAGCGGTTCTTGGAATTCAGATTGTTGGTTGTGCAATTTTCCATTTTATTTCTTTTCCGTTCTATTTGTTGGGAGTAAAACGATGTGAAGATATTACAAATGCAGTACATGTTTGTACTTTTTCACAAACCGTAAGAAAAATCCATTGTTCAAGATAACACACATACGCATACACACATATAAAGAAAGTTGGATGGACTTTTTGTAATATTCATTGAAATCAGTTTTACATATAAATCGAATCAAAATGTGTATCAGATGTTTGTAAGTTGTTACCAAGCACTGAAATCATTTCCTTTTCATCTAATTGACATGTGTCTGTTACAATTTTCTTTCGTTGATTTTTCTTATCTCTCTTTTTTTCGCCTCTTCAAAGTCATGCATAAAATCTTTCACGCTTTAAAGTTCTGCATTTGTCAAATGATAAAAGTTCTGTTCGCGTACAAATTTATTGACTGCTGTGACTATGTTTTTTTCTTAGTTTTCAAATGGCACGTGCCGTCAACTACGATTCATTTCAAGGTTCTTTTTCGTGAATTTACTTCTGATTTTTGAAACCCAAATTATGGTGAAGTTTTCGTTCGCACAACAATTTTGACATTGAAATTTCAAACCATCAACAAAAATGTAATCGAATATGGAAAAATATGTCAAACTTCAAATAGTTGTACGAAGTTATTTTCATTTTCCTCTACAGTTGAACAACCAATTTCTGTTTGTAACCAAATGACGTCAACTCTGCCGTTTAAGAAAATCATTTGGTGCCTTTGTACAGCGTAAAACGCGAAATGAGTAAATATTGCTTTCTGCCATATGGCAGTAATTAAAGACACTCATGTCTTAAATCATAAGATGTTATATTTTATGGTAAAGTCAGCGTGGAACATAATTTACGGCGGTGAATATAAGAAAATCAAACGTTTACTTAAAAATTTATGTTTTACCTCGATCACAAGTCAAGTATTATTCATATCAGTTTCTTTGTACACGTTCCGTTCACATACCTGTATCTGACAATTTCAATATTAAAATTTAAGCAATATTTAATGTTATTCACTGCGATGAACTGCTGTTCACTGTGAAATGAAATTTACTGAGTATGTACTTGAACTGAGTAGTCGAAATACTATTCTTCGAAGCAGGGTTGTCGTTAGATTTGAGATCAAATAATTTGACAAATCCACAAATCATTCTAAAAATCATGTGCAGCTTAAATACATTTATTTTTTATAATTTGATTTTTGGCATCTTGTTTAAATTTTCAACATTTTTTGTATTTTTCATCGAATGATTTGATTTGAGTTGGTCCAAACTATCAAAATATTTGAGATAAATCACTTGATTTGAGAAACAATGATAAATTTGATTCAAACTATGCTTCTCAAATCATTTGAGCTAATTTTTGATTTTGATTTGAAATCCAAAATTGACAACCTTGCTTCAAAGTGGATTGGCTTTCTTTATGACGTGAACTTTATCGTTTGAATCTCTCAAAACAAGTAAAAGAAATGTTCATCATTCTCCGAATCGATATGTGTACGTAATGAGTAAAGCTCATGTTGATTGCATTTATACGTATTTCAACAGAAATTATTTAGCAAATAATTAATTTGCCAGTAGATACTTGAAAATGCTACTACGAAAAAATCGACAAATTTCTGTTTGATATAATTAATGTGGAGATTAATATCGGGTTCGAGAGCAAATTACGTTATTCGCTGCAATCCTCCCCACCACCTTTTCTTTTTCGTATGAGACGTATGCATTATTTTAGCACGCTCAGTCAGCTTTTGTTGTGAAAATCTCTTGAAATTACGCTAATTGTGTAATTATGAAATTCGTTCTATCTTTCGTGTAACGCATTCGACCTTTTCATTCAGAAATTTTGATTTAGCTGCCTGTTACTGCGGAGAGTGATATCAAGGTGTCTTAATGCAAACAGAAATTATGTCTATTATAGCGATGAGACACGGACAGAAGTTGTTCATAAAATAAATGAAAATAGGTTGACTAACGAGAGTGTTGAACACACAGCTGATAAATAGGTTGTTTCTATTGAATATGATTGCCTTCAACTATGAAATGTTTTTTTTTTTTTTGCTTTATCTCGTTTTTTCTAGTGCCACTTCTTTTTGTGTCTCAATTTTAATTGAACAATTTTTTATTTCTTCATTTTCTTTCTCCATCTATTGAAGATTATTATTGTGATTGACCTTGATTACGAATTACATCGCCTCAAACGTGTTAAATTCATTCTTTTGACCCGAAAACCAATTGTATTTGTGAGAACATCTCATAATAAATCTGATTAAGTGAATAGTTCATTTGATTGCTTGTATTTCCGTTTCAAACAACTCATGGATATTATATTAGCTGTACTGCATGTATGCATATATGCAATTTATTTGTAAATTCTTCTAAGTTTACGAAAGCGTCATAGTTTCGCTCACTAATTTCCCGGCATTCATGTCAAAAGTTCGCTTAAAAGACGTAATTCACTATTTAATTCACAATAATTGAGCTCGAGTTCAAGTTGAATATCGTTTCTTATAGGAATATGTGTGCATATTTTTCCTCTCATTTTTTTTAATCACACATTCAACGAAGAAGATATCGATCGGATCATTTTCGTCAAAATCAAAGACAAACAAATAGGTTCTGTTTTTTTTTTTTACGCTAGTCTTATCTAGTCGACCGATTAATTAATTCCGAACAATGTGCACATAAAATAGTGTGAGACGTCTATCACTCTAGTGTGCAAATGTGTTTAAAACATGAAATATTTTTATTTGAAAGTGTTGTTCACGTTTGCAATGAAACAAATCTTTATCTCTTTTTCCCCTGTTTGCTGAATGCATTGTGTGCACAAAGGCTTCACTCGATTCACTTGGCGCCGTATTGATTATTTTTGTTTCATATTTCATAACAAACAATTTTTGATTTTCCGTTTCAGTTCAGGTATAAATAGCCGGACACATCAAGCCGCAAATCATTCGTGATTTCTATACAATACATTTGATTCCGATTTTTTCTCCCTTTTATTTCGAAAACAAAAAAATACAACATTTTTCATCAACGGTGATTGATGATTTTGAAAATGATGAAAAATCAATTTTTTTTCGTGTGCTTAGCAATTTTGTGTCTCTTTGGAACGGTGCACAGTTTTGAATGGCGTAAGTTGTTACTCTTCCCTTTTGAGGTGAATGGTACACACTGAGTGAAGTGAATTTGAAATATACAACATCAAATGGAATTAAACCACATCCAGGGTAGAGACATTGTGGTATTTTCAGCCAATGAACATAACACAATTTTGGTATCATTTTCTGTTTAATTAGTGAATGTTATAACTGTTGGAAATTATTATTAGAGTGAACTATGTGCAAGTGATGACAAACATGTTCAATTACTTATTTGAATGTAATGCAATCTATTTTATAAAATAGATTAATTCAAAGAATATTGGAGAGAGTGATAAATTTTGCTATTTATTTAATATGATATCGATTTGTTTTTCTCGTCGACCTAGGGCATTTGCACTGATTTCCAATTCAATAAAACTATTAATTATGCATTTTAATATCATGTTCTCGTGCATGTTATTTGAATTCAATTTCGATTTTATCATATTTTTATTTGAGCTTCAAAAATGCATGAAACTAAATATATTCAAATCGAATTGACTCGAATATAAAAAAAAATTGTCACTGAACGAGAAAAACATATAAAAAAACGTTTGAATGGAACCGTGCGTTCGAGAATGTTGATCTTAATTGCATCCAAGTATCAAGTTCAATGCAAAAGCGCAGCACTTGCGCAATATTTAACGAGTGTTGACGTCGGATACACTGAAATGTATATAGGATCGTGCTCAAGTTGAATTTATGATGCGTCGAACGCGGCAAATGATAATTAACTCATTAAAATAAATTATGTAAACGGCAATCTAAAGCAATTTTCAAAAAATTAACAGAATTATCGTAAATAGCAATTTAAAGTATATTGATGTAAGGTTTGGCATGAAAACCAAACAAAACTAAAATACACAAATTGAATGAGAAAGAGAAAACTAATTCTGAAGAATGGAATAATTAATTTTGAAGTTTTGTATTTATCATAGCTGCAAACATTCCGAAATGTAAACCGGGAGATGAGACATGCATCCCACAAACTCTCACGCAATTATTTCGACATGCGGATGGTAAGGAAGTCAAATAAAAATATCAAAATTATTACATTTCGAGCGAAAAGTTTATTTAAGAACCAAAAATAGTGATATTGTTTGCCTTTTGTAATTTGCATCCAATTAGAAATTCCCGAACTAAAAATTCCAGACATGGACCCTTTCGTTTTTAATCAACCAACAACGCTTCGTACACGCAATCCAAACGCCCCGATCAATATCGTTATTCGAAATACAAACACCACAATTTACGGACTCAATGCAATGGAAATAACGCAAATCAAGTTTGTTTCACAATCAATTAGTTGGTATTCGAAGAATTTTGAACGCAAACGATTGTTTTTTGGTATTTAATCGATTTCAGGGGCTTCGAAAAAGATCCAAGGAAAACCAAATTTGAACTAAAATCATTCGTACCGTTTTTGGTGACCGTATCCAACTACAAATCAACAATGAATCTGTTTGCTTTACCAATAACAACGGAAGGGATATCCAACACCACTATATGTAGATATGCTTGAAAATATTTTCAATTTCCGATCAAATCAATTAATAAACGCTCTCTTTCTTTCTCTTTAAAAAAAAGCAAATCTTGAAATTCGCCAATTCGTCGATTTTGATGTCATTCAAAAGAATGGAAAAGACTATATAAAGGTAAAGAATATTCGTGTTCATTTAAAACTAAGCAAATTTTCAGTGCAATTCAAAAGTAAAACTGGAAATCCCACCGTGAACGACACAATAAATAAAGTGGTTAATGAAAATTGGCGTGAAATCTATTCTGAACTCAAGCCGGACTTGGAAAAGAATATCGGTGAAGTAGTCAAGGCAATGGTAACACCAATATTCTCTGATATTCCTTATCAAGAATTTTTCCAACAATGAAAAATAGGCATTATTACGAAAAATTAGTAAGATCCGCTGTAATTATTGATTTTTTGCTGTTTTCAATAAAAAGATCGTGTTTAACATATTTCCATTTCATTTATTAAAACAAATCATATAAATCGTTTTTATTATAGCGCATTTCTTCTGAACAGACAATTGTTCATTTCTTGAACCACCATCTCATTTTTCCTATTTTAGACAGCCTTCGAAACATTTATTGCATGAAAATAGTGATTATATGTTGTGGAAATATACACAAAGTGGAAAAAATGAGATAAATTTATTATGGTTCAAAAAAGTAAAACTGAACAATTTCGTGGAAAGAATTTCTAAATGAAAAATTCTTCATCAAGGTTACGATGAGACAAGTTGTGCATTGTGTATTCGCCAAATATCGATAAAAGAGGCTTAAAATAGAAGCTTATTTATGGCTGATGTACCAGCGAAAATTATTTAAAAAATTGCTTGATGTATCGATCAATTTTAAAATCATTTCCGGGAGAATCGTTTATATTAAGCATAAACACAAGGTGTTAGCTTTTCATATTAAAACTTTTGTTCAGTTTCTTGGCTATACAATATTTGAATATTATTATTTTGAAAATCCCACATTCAAAAGTCTTTTCACATCAACCTTTTTCTGATGATTTGCACGAAAATGGCATGGTTTCCACATTATAATTTGAAGTTTTTCAAGTAAAATTCAATGTATTTCGAGTTGAAAATATACGCTTTTGATTAAAATTGTTTGGATCATAATTGATGGGTGCATTTTACGCTGAAATTTTCGCCTTCTATTATTCTTATCAGTGGAGCAATACATCAAGCATCATTATCAAGTACTTTGCTAGTTTAATCTTCTCTAGAATCTTCTTATACTCTTAAATTGTAAATTTGAAAGCTAATTAGTGTAATGGAATAAATTAATTGACATTTTGCATTTACAGACAGTGTTCTATATAAATTGTCATCAATACGAAATTGGTATCCAATTCATAAGTGTCGATCGGATTCATAATGTTGTAATTTCGTTGGCTTATGTGAAATTTCCAAACTTGTCAAGTGACTTCTTGGATATTGTTTTCGACAAAAAGGCAAGTGTTTTTTCCATACTCTACGCTACAAAGTAAATCATTCTTTAAAGGCATGTTTTATATTGCTCTTTCATTCTCTCAATTGAATCAAATTTATCTAAGATGTTTGTGTTTTAATTTCGAAGAAATACATTATATGCATATATGCTTGTTCCCTCGTTATTGTTAAGACACAAAAGCCTTTTTCATTCCATTCAAATAGGATTTGTTTCGCATCACAAAGAAGGTGCTTTTGTTTTTAAAATCGTATCATAACATTCGCAAATTATTTTTCATCTTTATTCTTGCACATATTCACAAGATAAACAAAATGAAATCGAATTATTTTACTATGAGATGAAGATTTGTAGCATGTTTTTAAATTTATTGGTCTCTCATTCCATCATCAAGATTTGCAAAACGTTTATTGTCTTGAATTGAAGTTGTTTATATTGAATTGTTTATTATGAAGGGAAAAAAAGCGAATGAAAAATGCGTAGATATAAAGATGGAATGAATTCGTGAGAAAGGCCCGTGAACTTGGTGTCTTCGTACGATGAACATTGAGAGGAAACACAAATATTCAATTAGAATTTAATGGATGAATAAATAATAGCGACAGATATGAAATTACGTCGTTCGTGCGTTCTCAAATAAATTTTCAAAATTTACATTACTTCATGGACAACGAGCACATTAATTCGACGAGCACATAATTTGGTGCCTATAAATTTCGCTTTTTCGATTTTCAGGCATACGCATTATTCATCATCCTTCAGATGTGAGTGAAAGAAAAATTTATTGATTGAGTTGGAAAGGCGTCGTCAGTTGAAAATTGCAAATAAGCAAGTTGAAGCACCGAACAATATTCACTCATGTAAGAACATTAAAATTGTATTTGGTGTGACCAAGAACAAAGTCAAGAAAATATTATTAAAGATACAAACATCCAAGAATATAGTCTGTCATAAGTAAATAATGTGAATTTATTTTATTGTAATATTTGGAAATCATTTTCTTGGAAACATAATTTTTTTTGGCAATTTCGATTATGGTTCCTTTTTTTCTACATGAAATAAAAGTTGCTCTGGGCATATTGCTCATGTTTCTAAGTTTTGCCAGCAGCCAAACCAAAACCAGCATACTTTAATAATAATCAAAGATGAACACAAAAATAAAAGGAAAACATCATCCCGTCATATTGAATTAAAGTACACACGTATTGTATGCGCTTCGTTTAAAATGGACAATTTTTTTTAACATTACGTTTTGTTTGAAAATGTGAAAGCATAATAATGAACAGAAAACTTTTGGAAAGATTCATGAAAGGAATCACCAAAAAAACCGATATAATTTTGTTCGTCTGGCATATGGATGTGACTTTCGGCATTTTTTCGTATAAAGTGGATGTTGTTTGGGTTGTATGGCCGATCATTTTTTTTACATATACATTGTATACATCAAGGTGCTCTTGAATTTGGCTTGATTTAGCAAATAACACTTCCGCTGATTTTGACGTATTGTTTCTTTGTTGTTGTAGCTTTCATCGTAAAACGCGTGGCCCGGAACACAATTCACCATTGAATGACAAATATGCAGACGGAAAGTAAGAAAGGAAGAGAGGAAAAAACGACAATAAAACAAACAATGTGTTTGAATGACAACGAAAAAAAAAAACAATTGATATACCACGGCCAACGACTTGAATATGCGAAATATTCTAGAAAAGAAGCGAGGAAATTTCTATGGACATAAAATTGCTCGAATTGTAATGACACAATGTAAGATAAAGATGTTTTGGTGCGCATTTTTGCAGAAAAAAATGTGTCGCTATGCGCTTTTTTGCCTCTTAAAAATAATGTTAAAGTATAGTAGGTATCTCAATGTACCCACATTTTTTTCCGCTTTCTCAAAACATTAGTTTCAAGCCAGATGAGGAAACCCTAAGACGTTGAACTTGAATTCAAGTAAAAAAAGAATGGTTCAACATAAAGCGGATTGATTCATGCCTTATTGCAAAAGCTTTTTGTATTTCAGCTCACAATTCTTACTGGTTAGTTTGCCTCATGCAATTTTATATTTGTACATAAAATTATTGCAAACTGCCATTGTCACGTGAACCAATTCCTTAAACTTGAAATTTATTTACATTGTGCGAAAAAAACAGCTACTTCAATTCAAATCCGTTTCGATCTACCGACCAAAAGCCACGAAACCAGCACGAAAAAGAATTTGTCAAGGATTTTCACAACAAAAGTCTTTGCTGATGATGATGTTTCAGAATTCAGAAGAATTACATGTTGGAGGCTTCATTTGCATAGAACATGACCATGTGATTTATTCAGATTAAGAACAATTGAATCGGTATTAGCAACAAGTTTCACAACAAGCACAGCAGCACTCTCATCAACGTCTCCACCATTGACGTACTAATGACATTGAACGTGCTTCGCACGCACCGAACTTGGTCGACATTGAGTTGCGATGAAAAGTTTCTTCTTTTTTTGTCTTATTCAACAAAGAGGGAAAAAATATGACGTAGGCAACGACGTGAAAGCTTCATATCACTGTAACAAAATCGCGTTTTACTAAAATCTAAATTAGATCAATCGGCTTACACATTTCTGGCACATTTACACTGTGCTTTCAATAATAATTTTGACTGAGAGTGAGCACTGAGCAGTGAATCTTTTTCCGCTTCTGGGTACAGTTACAATATCTTATTTTATTTATTCAGCGTATTCATGGCCAATATGTATTATCATTATTCTCCAAAGAGAACTCATTAAATTTGATTTTATTCAGACATTATATTGAGATATTTTCAGAATTCAGTTCGGGGAGTTAATGTCAAGCACTGAAATAGAGCGAAAACTGATTGTATTTAATCTAACATCATTTTAGTTATATTTATTTGCAAGATATATTGGAATAGATACCATATCAAAATGAACTTCGGACCAATTCCAACATTCGTAATCGAAAATGTCATGAACATCATTAAAAGATTTTTCGACACAATCACCATTTCATCTCATTTCATATTTTCTCTTTTATTGACATAAAGTCAAACATTTACTGATGCCCTTTAACATCTATTTAATACCTTTTGCCGTCGTTTTTATATTCGTTCAGGTTTGAATCGGTGTATTAATAAAGAGCCGACGGTTAAACAGATCTTCAGATTACATAAATATACTTTAACAGTTTCATATTGTTAGAATTTGATCTGGACATGATACAAACTTTCCAATTAAGAGCATCCGTTATCACATGTGATTCTTTTATGCGTATATGCAAACGTTACCAAGGATTGAAATCGCCAGGAAAATTGATATTTGACCACCTACGGTTTTTGTTATGTTTTGAACAAAATAATGGGAAAAAAATCTCGAAAATAGTTTGTTTACGTTATGTCGATAGCAAGATTTGTTTGGTAAAATAAAACTAAATCTTTGGATAGGATTCTAGCGTCAGTCCCAAAATAGTGGATGTGTTATTTGTTATGTTTCAACACGTGTAAATTGAAGGTTATACAACAATAATGAGTATCCTTTCCTTTAAATGATTTATTTCTATTTTTCTCTCGAATATTTTTTTTCTTGCAGATTATTATCGGTGAACAACATTTTTTTGCGTCGTATAGATATAATATTTAATATTATGACGAAAATAAAACATGATTACTTTCATTCATGTGACATTAAGAACTGAATTTTGATTACATATATGTATATTTTGTTTTCATATTGTCGTCGCATTTGCATACGCGACTGAGAAGTTAAATTTAATCCTCGAATGATTCTTTCTTTAATATAAAGGACTCCATCCAGAACAATCATATAAAACTTGTAACTAAACACTGTAAACAGAATGTAGAAAAAAAAGGATCGGAAATCGATTCCATCTTTTTGCGTGAGAAGATGTCACTCATCGGTAACGTTCGACATGTTCTATGCAAATTTCGATAAACAATCGAACGTTGCATTTAATGGTGTTATAAAAAAGTGTT